CTAAGGACTGGAAGGGCAAGGAGGGCAGTCGAGTGAAACACAAGACAATGTGCAAGAAGTTTCAGAAAATCTGAAAATACAAATCAAATAACATTATGTATTTGGTAGCGATAAAGGAGCAATATACTGTAGACCATAGCAGTTTGAAAAAGTATCGGTACCTACTACTGCATAGATGATCGATATATCGTCATTGGTAATATTTGGTGACCTCATCGTTGATTCATTTGACTAAACGATAGCCAATGCAACATAACATATACGAGTATACGTCATATACACTTCGTCATTATTCTAATCATATATATTGCGCATTTTGAACATCATCAGCTCATGTATACAAGCAATACGATTATATTCTGATAGGTAAAACAGATCGAAAGACTTATATATATCCATGGCGCTTCAAGCAGGAAGAAGACTACAAAACAATATCATAATGCTGGCTCGTTCACCTTTTTATTGTTCAGCAAGAATAAGAAAAAGCAAAGAAATGAAACGACGAATTGATGGAACTAGACGACTTGTTTCTTCTAGTAACCGTGGCCTTAGTCTTGGAGATTCGTCAAGAGTTACGAGAACTGCAGGATGCAAGCGACCACTGCGGTGTTGGGGCAACCAACAAATAAGGTGGTCCACTTCTTCTGCACCACCAGTAGTTCCAGAAATTAGCCCATCAGTGATTGCACGACAACGTCAGAGCAGGACCATTGCCGCACTTATTTCTGTGGTGTTTGTGACTGCCGTGCTCATAGAAGGAAATGCCAAGCAGGGATGGATAGGAAAGGACCCCCGACCTTGCCACGGGTATATAGTCGAGAATAAGCCATTCAAAATTATTGGAAGCAACGACCTATTTCAATTGTTCGACGATTGGACCAAGTGGCGATACAACTAGGCCCCATTTCGGTTCGGTACGTGGGGTATATATATGCACCTTTTGCATCAAAGCGGAATCCGCACGGTGCTGATGGCCAGCTTGAAGAACAGGTCATTCGTATTTTCGCAAAGGAGTTGAAGGATGCTCTTACTTATTTGGGACCTGCTTGGATCCAAGGTATGTGTGTTTGTGTTTAGTGGGTATTCGTGATCTCCATGAAGCCACATAATCTAATTCACATTTAAACCAATCATTGAACCAGCCATTTCAAACGAAAAGATGGGACATTATCATGGCGGGAACCAACGATTTGCTTTTCCAAAGTTGCGGCTTGAGTTTAATATTTCCCCAAATCAGTGATACATCCATGCATCATAGCTGGTACTGGAAATGAGTTGGGTGTTCCAGGATCGAAAGGTTACATTCCGGGATCGAAAGCATTTATGGGTGAAAAAAAGATTCTGGATAAGGATGCTCTGTCACATAATGCTTGCAAGCAGATGCCCAAGTAGCAACAGAGGACGACGCAAATATGTTCCCAATACACTATCCGCAATCGTAAATACAAAAGGGGGCGTCTTTTCAGAAAGAAGCCGAGAGTCAATTTTACATGAATGACTACAATAGTTCGATGTTTTACTGCCTAAGAGGCATCAACCATATCCATATCTTGAGTCGCCAAGATAATATCATAGACGCGTCCCTTGCGATCGAATTTGTCCTTGAGACCAGCACAAACCAACTCGGCCATGCGACGAGAAAGAAAGCGCTGCCATTATCACGGGCACGAAGTCGCACACGATACCAATGGCATTTCCAAACGACTTTTATTACCCCGGTGATCCTGATACCCGCGAGTTCCTTGAATGCCTTCAAGGCCTTGATCACTATCTTTAGACCGGGGCAATCTGTATCGCGGGATGGCTGATGGCGGTGAATGGGTAACAGCCAAGGCGAGCCAATGGTTCAAGGTGCTAAATGTTGATGTGGTAGTGACGCTTACTTGTTGATGCCGTCTTCCTTGGCAGCGAATCTTGGACTCCGAGGATGTCAGCACCGATGACAGTGGCGGATCTGATGTAGCTCATCTTCGTATGACGCTGGATCTTCCTTATTGTTGGCAAATAATATTCGCACTCTCCGTATAGAGCTCGAAGTGCTCCATTATAACGGTCTGATGATTGATTCGATTCACAAATTTTTGGAGTCAATGTTGACTGACGCTACATCGTTCACAACGACGACAGCAACTTTGAAGCCTTTCTTATTCTTGAGTAGGTTTTGGAGTAGTCATAGCAGTGTAAACTAATATGTTCCGCTGGATACATACCTAGTATATTTGATGGGATGCCGCTGCTGATGAGTATGCTTTCAGTCGCACCGCATCGCACAGTAGGCCTGCTCCCTGCGTGGAAGGCACTATGTTTTGATGTCAGGCATGTCGTAGATGTCGCATGATGAGTCAGAGAAACAAGCAGATGTCCAGCTTGTTCCCTATCATGCACGGCCAATAAGTAATGTATATATTGGCGAGGAACGGGTTCGACACGCGAACACGTTCACGATCCGTTTGGATAAACATGCAATTATCCACATCACAAATTAAAAGGAATCCGACAACGATTCACAACAACAACGTAATACGATAGTGACTGTTACCATCTTAACATTACACACGTATTCAATTCAGTTTATCAGTACCCAAATAAGCTACAACTATGGTGCAAATCGATCCAGCAGCGATGACTGCTTTCTGGGAGCAAGAGGTCCAGATGCGCATCGTGCAGGATATACGG